TTTTTGTAAGTTAATGTTTTCTGCGAGGTGAAGATTCTCTAAATTCAACACTTGCTCATGACTGTATGATATCTTTGGGCGTGTTTTCACTCTCCCACTAAAGGTAAACTAAAGTTTTTTTTGTTTTTTTTTTAAATTGTGAATTATTTTTTTCTTTTCAGCTGTCCTGCAATAAATTAGACATGGAATATTTTATTGAAGCAAAGTAGAAAAGGACACATTATTGTAAGTAAGACAAAATGTCTCAGTTAGATGGAGAGTGTGTGCAATCATTTATGTATTTCTCGAAAATCATCCACAGATCTGCCATTGGACTCTTGTTCTAGTGGGTGATTACGACAATGACCCAGCCTCCCACATTTGTTTGCCACTCAACATTCTTTCCTATGAATTTGAAAGCGAAGAAACTTTTATGTGTTTTTCTGAGTCAGTGCAATAATTAGTTTTCCATCATTTGGCAGGGGAACAAGACACTTGTAGTTTGCACAAACAGCCTCACGATGGAGACACTGAGCCACAATCCGAGGTCATTAATTGCACATTTTAATATTGAACTGAGAGGACTTCTTGGAAAACTCAGTATCGAGTGCTTTACAGTAAGTATGACAGAGCAAAGTGCATGACTCACACTGGGAGTCTGCTATGAAGTAAATCTCTGCACCAAGCACAAATCAAATTGGATTATTAAAGGAAGCATAAAAGAATGAGCCACTAATAACTAAACTTTACTGCTTGGTGCAGGTCTGGAAAAAATTGCTTTGAATTTCATAGGGAGTAAGTCATGTTTATTTAGGAGTTACCTGAGTCGTGTAAAAAGAAAGAGAAGACAACCAAAGAGAGAAAAATCTGAAAAGTGATCAATGTTGTGTAGTCATACTAACCAGTTCAATATGTGGATAAAAAATAGCTCTAATTCTCCTGCTCTAGGAGTTTTAGTACGTAGTGGGATAAGTGGGGATTCGAACGCATATGACCTAATAGCACTTAACTAGAATGCTATGGCAACAACAACACCAATAATAATAATAATCATATTACCCCATTGTAACTGCTCAACTATTTTCTTTCTGTTTTCAATTGATATTCTGTTCTGCAACCACATTTGTTTCACTTCCAGTAACTGAAAATGTCTTGGTCTATTTTTAAGTGATCTACATTTCTGATTTTCTCTCTGCTTCAGGTCCTCTAGAGATTTTGAACCTTTGCTACTTTTCATTGTTCTTTTTGTGCACTGGGTTTTCTACAATGTCCTCACCGGCCACTTTGTTGCTGGTTTCCACCCCATTTTCCCTTGAGAACTATTTTGGTTTTCTTGCAACATTGATTCAACAGCAAAGTTGATGGCAGCATTTCTGAGGAATTTGAGTCTACACTGTCATGAAAGCGTCACACATTTGCTAGATTTGACAAACGGATACCCATATGTGAATCTCCTGTTCAAGAAAAAAAAAAAAAAAAACTCAGTGACTTTAGGCAAAACCGGTTTTAGATTATTTGAGCTTTGTTATATAGTGCAGTAACATGCATAGAATTTGCACTCTGGGGTCACAAAGGGTTGGACATGATCAGCTATAATGACCCCACATCTGTTGTTCAAACCAAATCAGCCACTTCTGACTGAAATTGGACTCCTGCAATCTGTCATTGTCCAATTTTGTCATGCCTGTACAAACTGTAGTCTCAGTTTCATGTTCAGGTCTGATCTTCTGCTGCTGTAGTCCATCTGCTTCAAGGTTCCATGTGTTTATTATATTTATAAATTCATATGTGCTGGACAATTCACCGTTTTTGCTCACAAGAAATTCAACAGGTGTATCTAATAAAGTTTTTATAGTTGGCTTATTGGGAGTTGCGATGTTTTTACCAAAATTCTACTTTCTGACCCTCAAACTGTTGCCTTTTATAATTTGCCTAAAGAAATAGGAACATTGTTCTTATTAAAGTCTGCAAATAACAAATGCTCCAAGATCTAATTTAATAGTTATTTATCTGCTTTGCCATCTGTTATATGTAGATACTGGTTCATCCCTTAAATTTAGAAAACTTTTTAGCCTAGACTTTGACTAATTCATTTTTCAGGAGAGCTGACCAAAGACAAAGCAAGCGAAGCAGCTGCTACGGCCCTTCCCCCACACCAGCATGGGGGAACCAAGAGCTCTAGAATTACTTTAGAAGTTAGGTTTGCAATATACCAGATTATACCAGCAATAGTCTTACTGGAAAAAGTGTACATTTTTGAACATGTCACATTCCGTATGCTATCATATTAAACATATATAACTTGAGTTGTGGGATTTAAACTGAGCAGATTTAGTGGTGCAGCACTTTAGTGTTTTGCATTTTACTTGTTTTTGTGTCGTAAACTATGCAAGATAGATGTATAATGCAGGAACAGTCACATATGGATTACATAAGAGGACCTGTTGAACCTTAGTAAACATTTGTTGTGGGAAGGTCCTAAAATCTTAACGTGTAGGGCCCTGCCTTGGGACAGCCCTGGGTCAGAGCAGTGGCATATAAAGCAAAAAAAAAAACGAAAAAAGAAACATTAATGTTAAAAAAAAAAAAGGGTTAGATAATTGACAGAAAGTGGATAGTATCCAAAGAAAATGTAATAAAATCCGTCTATAAACGTGTTGCAAGTTTTCACGACTTAAGAGTTTCAGAACTGGTGACTCAAAGCATCAAAAAGCTCGTTTTAAAGTTGGGTTTACACCGCAGCCGCCACAGTCACATCGAAACACGCACCTTCCACTGCTCAACCCGCCCACATGCCAGCTACGTTTCGTCTTATTGGTTTAACATCAAGCTGAGGCCACAGAGTAAGAACCTGATTAGTGCGTCGGTCTGCCAATCAACCCGACAACTCGTCTTCGCCGGCTAGACGCGGAACCGAGACACGCGAAGCATAACGGCCATACTATCGGCAGAGGGGGCTGTGAAGACTGCTGCCCTTCATCACATTTCGGTACAACCTGTACAGAACTGTTGGGAGACTTTTAACTACTCTGACCCGAAATAAATATTAAGCAGTCGAGAAAATGGCGCAGCCGGACAGCAAGAAGATATTCTTTGAGAACCTGTCGGGAGCAGGGAAAGCCATCGCAGTGCTCACGAGCGGAGGAGATGCTCAAGGTAACTTGTCGCATTCACGGACACAGGTTTTTCGAGATTTCTATGCATTAATGCAGACATGCCCGTAGAGGGCGAAAATACACCCCCTCGGCAGTGATGCTGTGTTGTCAGTGATAAAAAAGGCCATGTTTATGCACCAATATGTCTGTAAAGCTTTGCGCAGTGGGCCCTTCAGTCTAGTAAACTAAAAGCATGATGTTGAATCATCCAGGAAGAGGCAGCGGTTAGCTGAGATGCTAACATGACGCAATGTGATAACTCAGATGTCCGCATCCTCAAACTCTCTAAAACTGAGCAGCTCAGAGAGATGTCAAGGTCGAGTTATGTGCTGCGTTTTCCACCAGGTCCTGCAAGGTCGTTAATTATCTTACGGTGCATGTAATTTGAACGAGGAAGTGAAAGACTCGGGCGTGCTGCTCGTCACGACAGCGGCTTGCTCACCGACTGCCAGCAGCCCTGAAAGGCTGAGCTAATGTTGAGAGAGGAGAGGTGAGAGCTGAGGTTTAAACAGCAGAGTGTGGGCCAGCGGCGGGAAGCCTCCATCCTGTGTACGTGATGAGCGGCACCCGGCCGGTTCTACGTCACAGAGGAAACTCTTAGTCACGTGCTCCGCCGTCTCGTCTCTTATTTATCGAAACGCAAACGCTCTCAACTGCTAAGGAGTGCATTTTGAACTTATTAATTTGACTACTTTATTAATTATACTCTAGGCAACCCTCACTGTTCATCAGCATATGCTTATTCAGATGCACCCTTTCCATTTCTAACTATTAAAACTTTTTTCAGACTCAGTAAAAACTCAGTCACCTGCAACACATAGCCATATTTGACATACCTCCAGCTTTGTGCTGCCTGCTTGATGGTTTGTTTTATTTTATATGTTTTTTCTAAATGGTATGAACTACTTTTTGTCTCTAAATAAAGACCTTCCATATAAATATGGCATATAACCAATGCTGGCGTTATTAGTGATAAACAACAGTAGAAAAGATGAAGGATGTGATGCGTGTTCTATTGAAAATATCTTTAGTTTTGAATTTAGACATTAAAAAATGGGTGCCACAAGTTAAAATGGTCACGATTTTGTAGTGTAAACAGTATGTTTTCTTTGTTTTGGTGCATATGATGAATTTGGAAGAAAAAAAATCTTTAATTTATCCTAAATTCTGAATATAGTGTTTGAAAACGTCAAAGTAGTTAATTAGAAAGAAAAAAATCTCCTCTAAAAATAGATTTTTGTGTGTTGGTTTTGATCTTAAGCCCACCCTGAGCGGACCCCAGAGCAAAGTAAAGTTGCATATGCATGACAGGAGTCGTCGGGGCATTGTTCAGGCTCTTTGCTCCAGGCTTTGTGTGCGGCGTGCCGGAGAAAGCGCCAGTCATGCAGAATGAGAGATCGGGTGCTTCGATTCGGGCCTCGAAAACCTCAGAGGAGACGAGTGGGAGAGACTTCTCAATAGGCGTTTGTGTGCACCGTTATGTAACCGCTCAACAGGTTGTTTGACTTGACTGTGAATGAGGTCTTCAAAATACCCTTCAGAACAATCCTTTTTCTAACATTTTTTGTTTTCCACGACATTGCAAAAACTTTACCTCCTTTGAAGTTAAACGCAGAACTTATCAAATAAATACCAAAGAGCTTTTGAGGACAAAAAAATAAATAAAAATCCCAAGAGATGCACAGATTGTTTTCGTAAATGTTCTCCCCTGCTGTCCAACAGCCTGAACTTTTGCGTTGCTAAGCAACAACCCTCCGGCAGCGCACCAGTTTTTGAGAAATTTGTTGATTTAAAGCTGATCCAGTCGGCTGCGTTCTGTCCGTCCCCCAGCGAGCGAAGCGTTAACCGTTCCGGTCTCATAACCCTACATTTACTCTCAGATCGCATAGAAGAGTTTCTTCGTTAATGAGCGCACTTTGTACAAACTGCACTGTAACAGAGAGGGGGCGAGGACGAGCTGGAAGACATTGTACCCATAAAAGGCTTTCAACTCTGCAATAAGAAACAGACTGACCTAAACCACAGAAGTCTACAAAACATAAATTGTCTGAGGTTGCTCTTAAGCATGCTTCCCCTCTCCTACACTGTAGCTGCACTGCATTACAGCAAAGCTCCTCTGTCATTAATTATTATGAGCATTGTTGAATTTCTCTCCCCTCCTCTGCAGGAATGAATGCGGCAGTCCGCGCCGTGGTCCGAATGGGGCTGTACGTGGGAGCTAAAGTTTATTTTATTCATGAGGTGAGCCCGTCCGCTTCACAGGTCCGACAAAAGCGTGACTCTGCACAAAATGCTGTCGTGTGAAATTAGTTATGCCTGCTCTCACTCATGAGAAGGTGTTGATTTTTAACACCTTCTCATGAGGTATTGATCCCAGATGAATGTGATCAGCGTTTGCGCAGGTACGGATCTGTACTAAAGGGAGAGGATTTAAGCGGAGCTTTGGGAAGCAACAGACGTGCTCCGCTGCTCGTACTGTGATCCCCGTTCATCTGTCCTGCCTGGGCTCACTCTGCATACCGTTACATAACAGACTTAATGCTTCAGCTGGTGGCTGATGGGAACGCCTGACTGTTCCTGCAGCTCACAAAATGACAAACCTTAAATATGAGATAAAGTAGCGCTAAAGTGGTGAATCTAGAAAGTGTACACACCTCGGTTAAAATTCTAGTTCATTGTGATGTTAAAAAAAAAGACATCATGATAGAGCTGGGTGATGAATTGATTTAATTGATTAATCATATTATTGGAAAATCAGTTTGGTTTTTTTCCACCAATGCACTCCTTGGGTTTCCATAGTTCTCAGTGATGTCAGCACGCTCAAGGCCGCCGTCTTGTTTGTCGAACGCTTTTTTTCTTTTCATTTCCATTTTTCCTATTTATTTGGACTTTTAATTCAGGCCAACTCTGTAAGGGTCGGTAGAGATGCAAATCTTTCAGTGTCTTAATGATTTGATTCTGATTTTCCAGGGTCACAATTTCAAAAATTATTTAAAAGAGTTCTATAAAGTTCCATAGTGTATCAAACCTGAATAACGTCTTAGTGTGACCAGAATATGGTGACAGACCTGCTGCCACTACCATGTTTCACCGTTGGCATGGCAATGTGCAATTCTTTCTGTACTGAAAATATATTTTAAGATTTTGACTTAACATTTTCAGTTGGACTGCAACTTAGAAGATTTTGGGAGATTTGAGTCATTCTGAAATAATTTTTATGTGAAAGAAACTCTGTTCTATATCTTCACTGTAGAAGACAACCAGTATTTACCAAAAATTCCCTCAACTCTTCCAGTACTGCAGTTTGTTTCCTGTCACCTGCACTAACTGATTTGCATCTTGTCTTTTCATTAATTATTGAGAAACGTGCAGTTTTTGTACAGCCACTGTTGCACAATGCAGACTGTAAAAACAGGCTCTGACATATTTCCTGTCATGTTTTCCCCTCAGGGGTATCAGGGGATGGTGGACGGAGGGGAAAACATAAGAGAAGCTACCTGGGAGAGTGTCTCCAGCATGCTACAAGTGGTAATAAACATGTATCCGCTTAGAATGAACTACTTTCAAAGAGAAAACACAAAAAATGTTGTTTTTATCATTTGTTAGTAAGCCTGAGAGAAACCAGAGTTCTCTGTCAACACCTTTTGATTTAGACCTGAAATGCTTTCCCTGCCTTCTTCTCCGCTGCCTTCAGGGTGGGACCGTGATCGGCAGCGCCCGGTGCAAAGACTTCCGCAGCCATGAGGGCCGCCTGAAGGCAGCTCACAACCTGGTGAAGCGCGGCATCACCAACCTATGCGTGATCGGCGGCGACGGCAGTCTGACGGGAGCCAACCTGTTCAGGGAGGAATGGAGCGGCCTGCTCTCTGAGCTGGTGCAGCAAGGTAGTGGAACGCAACCAAAATACCAGCCGTTTCTATTTTCACCAACAGGAAACAGTGGATATTTGAGAAGTCCACATCGTTTTAAAATGTTTTTGTGCAAACAATTCTCAAAGGTGAAGCACGCATTTGTATGTAACCTCTTTTACGCTGATATCCGTCAAAATAAATTGCAACCAGATCTGTTAAGTTACCCACATATCATCCATCCATTTAAACTTTGTCTTCCTCTTATCTGACTTTGAGCTGTGAAGTAATAGGACCAGCAGGGAAACCGATACATCCCTCTCCATGGTAACAATCTCTAGTTTGTCGGCTTTATGGAACAGTGGCTATAAAAAAAAGCCATAAGAAGTTTTATTCTCCAGTGCAGCTCCTGCAGACTAGTCAGCAGAAGTTAGCAAACAACTGGTGGAACTGAGCATTAGCTGAGCTTGTTATAGGAGATACTTCTCAGTAAAACTCTGGTAAAAACGTTAAAGGGTTAAGAGTGGAGCCACTGTTGTGATCACTTCCTGAAGGCAGAACTACAGGAAGAGCAGGAGCTATTTAAAGAGACAGAGGCCCAATTTCAAAACGTTAAATTTCTAACTCAATTTTCTTTAGAATCATATGTAGCATTTTTATAATAAGTGAAGGTAACACAGTCACATGACTGTGGTATAAAATGGCACTGTGTTAATGAAAAGTACATGATACTGCCACCTAGAGGAATGCTGAAACAGTTTGTTTCTGGCTTCATGGGGCTAGAAAGTAACATGTAATGAAACCAAAGAGTTGGCCGAGTTTCTAAGACCCTCCCGGTCCCCTCAGGTCTGATCGAAGCCGACGCCGTGCAGAAATATTCGGCCCTGCACATCGTGGGGATGGTGGGCTCCATCGACAACGACTTCTGTGGAACCGACATGACGATCGGTACTGATTCAGCCCTGCACAGAATCATCGAGGTTGTAGACGCCATCATGACCACCGCACAGAGGTGAGAGCCAAAACAAGCTACATCGCTTTAGTTTCCAACACCAATCCTGTGCTGATTCCGCTTTCATCATCTGGCCTTTTCAGCCACCAGAGGACGTTTGTGTTGGAGGTCATGGGCAGGCACTGTGGGTAAGAAAAATAAGCAGCAGACTCAGTGGGCGTGGTCAGCGGTGCTCACATGAAGCTAACATATCTGTGTTAAACGGCAGCTACCTGGCCTTGGTGAGCGCTCTGGCTTGTGGTGCCGACTGGGTTCTGATCCCTGAAATGCCTCCGGAGGACGGCTGGGAGGAGAAGATGTGCCAGAAACTATCTGCGGTAACTCCATCGCATTCCCACAGCAGCCAAAATGAACCAATATACCAGCCATTTGAATGACTAGTTTTGTTTCTCTACAAAAAAAAAATACTACATAAATTATCTGATGTTTCAGTGTTTTCCCAGTTTGAAAACCTCCCAATGTTTTATAATCCAGACCCGTTCCAGGGGCACAAGGCTGAACATAATCATAGTAGCAGAGGGAGCCATTGACAGACACGGGAAGTCTATAACTTCTAGTTTTGTCAAGGATGTGAGTACATGAGTGTGGAAAGAAGAAGGGGAAGCCAGAAGCACGGCGACCCTGCCGATGCCACCAGATCTGACCTGAACGTTCACTGCTGCTGTTTAGCAACCGCGTTTAAATCTCACACAGAGAAAGTGTTGACAAGCAGCGATAGAAGCAGGATACAGCTGATTATATCATGAAGGAAGCTGTTCTCTCTCGCTCTCTCTCTCTCTCTCTCTCTCTGTTTTTGGCTCCCGTGCTTCTGAAAGCCCATGTCACAGCCACACACTCAGTTTTTCTGTCATGTTGTCTCTCCACCACGCCCTCCTTTTGTAGAACCGCGCAGGGATGAAAAGGCTGAATATCATAATTGTCGCCGAAGGGGCGATTGACCGTAACAACAAACCCATTACAACTGACTATATTAAGAATGTAAGTACAGAGCTGTGTGCAGCGAGCCTCCAGCCTCCTGTATGACACTGACCCTGCCCTGATGTGGCTTTTGACTCTGTTGCTGTGTTTCTGGAATGCTCTATCAGGCACACTTACTAGTTTGGTAAGAAGGCTTTCACGGTTTTGTACTCTAACGACAGTAGGACACTCATGAAGCCAAACACACATTTTCCCAAACCAGCTGCCACTTGTTTAGTAGAGATGCACCGATCAGAATTTATTTATTTTTTTATCAATGTAATATCTTCATAATTTAAGAATTATTTTGTCTGCTTCTACCATTTTCAAAGCAAAATTTCAAGTTAAAGAATAGCATTTTTAAAATGCTATTCTTTGTCAGAATTTCTTTGGCATTACATAGTATAAAACCTTTAAGAAGTATCATAAATGACACTATGAACTTTTGGAAACCATGTCTGTGCAAAGACGGATGCACCTGAGGTAAACTGAAGCATATTTACAGAAGTTTTAGTGAAAAATACATAAACAAGTACAAAACTTGGGACTTTCTGCGATTTTACTTAATAAATTTACTAAACTTAATATTACATGTGGACATCTTTTTGTTTTTGATATATTTTTTTATCACAATATAATAAAACAATAACAAATGTTTATATTTGACTTTAATTCAAGTGTATTCTTTGGAAATCTTGTGTAAAAAAAATACAACAAACTTTTTATTGAAAAAATAAATAATTAAAACCACAAAAATATATACATTGTTGGCACTACCAAAGCTCCATACAATGTCTTTTTGCAGAAGGTTCCTGACATCTGTCCAACTCAAATGCTTCCTGCTCAAATCAAACACCCAAATCCTTTTTAGCAGCTTCTAGCCAAGAGTCTTCCTGCCTCCATGAATACCAAATATGTCTATGTTTAGCTGAAGGGAGGTGAAGTAATAAGTGTAAGAAAAAAAAAAAAAAGTTAAAATCTCTCCCCCGATACAGAGGACGTGGGGCTTTACAAGTTTTAAACAGCAGTATCTGTAAAAAAGCAATTTAATATTAATTAAAAACAGACAAAATTATTCTTGAGGTGACATTTTAAACTGGCTTTAGCAGTTAGCAAACTGCCTTTAGCATGTGAAATATTGTGTAATTAGCGAGGCTAGCGTTTGTCTTGTGGCTTTATTTTAAACATCCCATCTGATATAAAACAACAACTTCCACTCCATCGAGTGTTGATGTTAGTGCAAACATGTTGCTGTTGATTTTTGTTTCCATCAAGTTCTCGTTCTCGGTGCATCTCTGTTATTTATACTTGCTTTCACACATTAGTTTTCACACTCTCATTCATTCAACTAACTGGTGTTAAAGTCTAAATTTTATTGTTTTATCAGTACCTGGGTATTTCTTTTCTTTATTTTCTTTTTAATGGTTCACATCCTGCCTGGGTTCCTCTATGGGGTACAAGCTATTTTGCTAACATGACTGAAAAATTAGAATGGCTTGCTTGTGCTTTGCAGTTTCCCCTTCTCTTTAGCTTTTATATTGTGCCTGTGTTTTTAGTGTGTGATGTGCCCAGTTATTTTTGAATGTATCTGCATATACAAAGTGGTTTTTGATATGTTTTACCTCAACAGTACCTCCTGCTAAATCCTTTTGTGTGTTGTCATCAAAGCTTGTTGTCAAAAACTTGGGCTTCGACACACGGGTCACCATCTTGGGCCATGTGCAGAGAGGAGGGACGCCGTCTGCTTTTGACCGCATCTTGGTAGGTTCACTAGGAGGAATGAGAGAGAAAAAAACATAGCACATTGCTTTCATTTGTTATTGTTAATCAAATAAAATATTCGGAACTTGATGTGAAAGATATCCATTGTCACCATGGTTACTCGTGTTTTATTTCTTCGACATCAGGCCGAACAGATAGAAAGTTTGAGGTTAATCATGATATTTGTAGTACAGGCTGAGTTATTGCAATTTGAAATAGCTTATTACCATAAAAATGATTTTTTATGGCTGTAAATACTACACTTTATAGTTCCACACAAAACCAATTTATTAAAAAAAAGAAAGCATAAACAATCATGGCCTTGAATTTACCTTAAGGGTCCAGAACAAACCAGTCCACATTTCTGTTTATGCCAAGGTTATTAAAAGCTAGCTCTGAAAGCAGGGCTAAGTATAAATTACTTCGCATTCTTCCTTAAAGTCCTTCCTAAAGCTATATTAGTGCCAGTTGCAGGATTATTTGAATCCCCAGTAAAAATGTATTTGTGAAGTAGATCTGTTTTATCTTTTAATTGCTGTTGCATCATTGCATACTAAAACGTTTACTGCAGTTCTCTAGTTCTGATCTTTTTTTAAATGCAGCTTCATTTGTTGCATTGACCTTAAATGTGAGCACATTGATGTTATTCAGCTATTTTCTTATGTTCATGCCAATGAGGTTACACAAAGTTTTAAGAAACTTTACACATCTTTACCATGGGTGCTGTGACTAAGAAACAAAAGGTCTTGCTTAACCATTCAATTTTTTACTTCTAGTTTGGAGTATACCAATTAAAGAGCCGAAGATCTTCAGACAATTTGCTTTACAAATTTGATTTGCATGTAAAATAAACTGACACATTTTAAAAACAATAACTGTAAAAAAAAAAAAAAAAAAAGTAAAATAAAAAAATCCTAATTTTAAATTTTTTAAATGGATTTTAAATAGGACTGGACAATAAATCAATATAATATACACTGCTCAAAAAAATAATGGGAACACTCAAATAACACATCCTAGATCTGAATGAATGAAATATTCTCGTTGAATACTTTGTTCTGTACAAAGTTGAATGTACTGACAACAAAATCACACAAAAATCATCAATGGAAATCAAATTTATTAACCAATGGAGGCCTGGATTTGGAGCCACACACAAAATTAAAGTGAAATGTTCCCTTTATTTTTTTGAGCAGTATATATTGTGATATACATGTGATCAATATCAATAGATAATACCTCCCATAGACTTATAGTAGTAGCAGTATAGTATTTCATGGTAAAGCCTCAGTGTGTTTGTCTTAAAGGAAATGATGTCAGGGATTTGAGTTAAGCACATGATGGGATTTGAGGCCGAGGACACGACTTGTGCAGACACGTTTCCACGCCCGTACTACAAGCCTACCAAAAATAGGTCAAGAAGTGAAAATGAACCGGAAAATAGCAAACAGAACAGGATTTAAATGTCTTAATAAATACATGCATGCAAAAATAAAGCGATACTAACTCACTGTTGTCTGTTCCTGTCCACCCTCAAAGGCCAGTCGTATGGGAGTGGAGGCCGTCCTGGCTCTCCTGGAGACCACCGCCAACACGCCGGCCTGCGTGGTCTCTCTCTGCGGGAACCAGTCGGTGCGCGTGCCTCTGATGGAGTGTGTTCAGACGGTGAGTGTGGTGCTGAGCTGGAAACGGTCCAAGACATCCACACACCCTTTAAATTTTCGTGCACACACTTAAGCAGCGCACAGGGGCTGAGAGGAGCCAACTGGGCTCAGAAGGGCTGTATCGTCAAATGGAAAGCCATGTTGTCTGAGAATGAGTCGTTAATGGTTAATGATCTTCTGAAGCGTTTTGAAGGGGTTGGCGATGACTGCCAGAGCGATGATGTAACAGCTAATCATCTCCACAGGAACAGAAAACAGCTTTGTTGTTCTGTTGGCCAGTCATGTTTGGAATTTGGCAGATGTCCCTGGGAAGATTTCTGCTCTTATCTGAATATTTTTATTTCAGTAAAAAACAGGAAAATCTTACTTTTCTGTTTGTTATGTCTTTCATAAGTGATTTCTTTCATAGGTCACAGTCAGATAGTATTACAAATATCATTGTTCTTTCATTTCTTTCCTTTGTGTTTCGGCTTAAATGTATTTTCATTTCTGTCTACTTTGCAAAAAACACAAAATCTAATCAAGTGACTTTGGTTTAGTTTCTTGTGCAAATATCTTAGTACACTTGAAATAAGACGAAGACTAACTTGAAAGTAACTTTTCAGCAGGATATAGATTCTTGTTACAAGTCAATAATTCCTTAATATTAATGGAAAAAGTACTAGTTCCATTGGCAGATTACTTCACTTATAACAAGACATTTTTCCACATGTCATCAGTAAAATAATCTGCAAATGGAGCAAGTACTTTTTAAAATCAATATTAAGGATGTGTTGTAGCAGTAGGAAAAACACTTTATGCTCACAAATGACACCTGCAACTGCCTGGCTGCTGATTGTGATACTATCTGTTGTTGCCTTAACATCAGCTGTGCCGTGTCCTTGTCCACTTCCTTATTTGATTGCCCCATAACAAAACTGACATAATATTTGTGATCTGTGAGGAGAAGCCCATGTTTTCTATATACAGTAATTGGCCTCAGATTCATTTGACCTCTTCTTGATAGGAAGGTATTGTAAATAAAAGAATATCCTTGTTTGATTTATAGAATAGGGATTCAAGTTTTGTGCTCCATTATCATCAGTTTATGGGAATAAATAAATTCTCAGATTAGAAGGTGTGTCTCCAAAGTAGGTTTATATGCAAGTAAAATTCATTTTAATCTGACATGATGGCTCTCAGCCACAAGAGAGAAATGGATTGTGGTTAATTTTTGTTTCATATGCTTTAAATGTAAGAAACTGAATACAAACATTCTTTTTTCTTTTTTCCTCAGACTCAAGAGGTCCAGAAAGCCATGGACCAGAAACGGTTTGAGGAGGCTGTCAAACTTCGGGGCAGGTATGGGTGACCTAGAAATGTCGGCTACAAATAAAGCATTAGTAGACAGATGTGATTTGTTTGGTTAATATCAGTCTGGACAGCTGTTGTGTGTTGCTACAACTCATAAGCATGAGAAGAAGAGTTTAAATGGAAGTAAAAAATGTCTTGATGTGTTCCTCTTATCGAACAGGAGAGCTGACTGTTTTTGGCCGTGTTTTACAGGAGTTTCGAAAACAACCTGAGGACGTACAAACTGCTGGCTCACCGCAAACATGAGTCTGAGCTGCCAGTTGTGAGTTGAAAACGCAGAGCGCACGACTTTCACACACAACCAAAGGAGCAGGTTACTTCCCGAGAGCCAAAACGGCCTCGCCCAGCCCTCTGATAAGCTGAATTATTTATTACTGTCCTAAGGTTCTAGCTACAAAGAATGACTCAGATACTGCAGGCCTCACACACCATGCTGCTGCTGGATTCTTGGCAGAACAAGAAGCAATAAATAAGCAAAGCAAGTCTCTAAATATGTAGCTCTGGCCATTTAGGGATCAGATGCAAGAAAACTGAACTTCCTCCATCTCCGATAGATGGATAAATAATGCAAATGGAAATTGTTGAGCTCGTTTTAATTAATCATGCGATTAATTGATTTACTGCTTGTTGCGACGAGCCTAGGCCCATGTGATGCAGGTTTTCAGGAGCCGTTCATTAAATAACGTAATCCCAACAGCTACGATCCACCTGCTTGCTAAACAGCTCTAACTGTAGTGAGCATAACAGGCCTTCAGGAGGCTCAGAGCTGGTTTGATGTGACACAAGTCGACGCCTCGGCCTCCCTCTGAGAGCCGACCTGGTCAATCCGGCCAGGAGGCGCGGCGGATCACACCGGTCGAGACGCGCAGGCAGCAGCCCGCCTCAGGGCCCGACTCGCTCTGCATCTGAAACGACAGCTGTGACGTGCTCCCGGGAGCACGCCAGAAGCTACCCATCGATTTCTTCTTTTGGAACATCAACAGCTATCCTCCCGTTGTGCGGCGTGTCATTTAGCAAAGCTGCAGAGTGAATGACTGAGCGTTGACGGCTGCTTTGTTTCCAGCGCAGAAACGACCCGGAGTCAGCACGCAGCTTCAGTTCTTACAGCTAGAAACCAGACCTGAACCTTCAGACGCATAAAGACAGTTACAAAGTCAGTCTTCTATCACCCAAAGAACATTCCCAGGATTAAAGGACTAATGTCGCAGAAAGAGCTGGAGAAGCTCACCCTTGTGTTTATCTTTAATCGCGTTAATACAATGGTGTCCAGAATGCTACAAACCAGAACACTGACAGTCATTACTTCAGTGGAACCTAAGAGAGGTGGACCAGAATGAAAATGAACAACGTTCCTGGTCATTAGGAAGTAAGCTCAGGCATTTACTTTATATTTTAGTGTTTAGCATTTTTAAAAGGAAGATTTCCTTCTTTAATAAAACAAGATTCTTAGTTTTAGTTGCGCATCATGTTTGAGTCTTTAAAACACGTTTTATTGTCTTACAAAGCTAATGTTCTGTTGAACCACAACCGTTTGTTTCATCAAGTATTTTTATTTACACTTGGTTGCTGATTTCAGACTGTTTTATTCTTGTCCAAATTTAGTTGGCATTTATATTTATTCATCTATTTTATATTTTCTTTGATGCACTAAATGCATTGTGTGATTTTTGTATACATTTATTTATGTATTTTTTTTAGTCTTGTTGGTGTTTGTCTGTGATATCGTTATCGAGGTATTTAAAAAAATATGTTGTGGTACAATTTTTGGCAATATCGCCCAGCGGATAACACTAAGTTTAAGTGTTTAGAGCTGCCTTTGATTAGTAGTCAGTGGAATATCGATCAACGTATTTGATGCGAGTTGATGATTTTGATTTGACAAAATGCTATGATTATTGCTTGTTTGAAGCACTCTGAACTGCCTTGTTCCTTCAATGTGTTACAAGATTCTACTCGATTTGAGTTGACCCGTTGCTTTGCGCGTTCCTCCCGCAGAGCAACTTCAACGTGGCGGTGCTGAACGTGGGAGCGCCAGCGGCAGGCATGAACGCCGCCGTCCGGTCGGCCGTCAGGGTGGGGATTTCCGAGGGACACAAGATGTTTGCCGTCAGCGACGGCTTTGAAGGATTCTACAAAGGGCAGGTGAGCTCCTGGACCGAAAGGAGAAAATCATATACCGTGAAAAAGATTTCCTATCGGAATGAAATCTGGAGTGCTGCTTTGGCTTGATGATTCAGATATTGCACTTTCACTGCTTGCTCCTCTCACTGAAGAATAATCGGGGGGATAATCCACACAGATTAATGTAAACCAATTTCCAGCACCGACTTTCCCCTATCAGCCTGAGCTGACGCAGTACCACAGGACACCACCAGATGGCAACAGGAGATCTGACTCAGAATGTCGTTTCTGGAGAATTGCAGATGATTTCCACTTCAGTTTTTCAGCAAAACAAACAGGGATTTAGTTGTGAATGAAGCGTAGATGCCTGTGAAACCTGCAGGGGGTGGGAATCTGATCCAAGACCAGACTGTTGTACTTTGTTCTGTTACTGATCAAACTGGTTTCACACTCCTCCCACTGATCTAGTTTTGTCCCCTTCCCCCTACTGAGAAAACCTCAAAGGGCTCTAGGTCATGAGAGTGAGTTGGTTCAGAACACTGCCGTTTTTTTTTGGGGTTTTTTTGTCTGGAGTCCAGAGAACTCATTACTCATCCTCTCTGTATTACAGAATGCGTTCGATTTTTGCCAGTAAATTACTATAATACTGACCCATTCATATTTTAAACATGGGCGTAAACAGAAGTAGAGAAATTTAAACCATCTTGAGTTGCTTATGACATTTGCCAGACTTGGATAATGTCACGTGATTTTACAATGTAAAACTTTCCAGTGTTTGATAAGACGTGTGTGTCTGTTGTCCTTTTTTCAGATTAAGGAGATTAAATGGGGAGATGTTGGAGGCTGGACTGGACAGGGTGGCTCCCTGTTGGGAACTAAAAGGTGAAAATTTCCAACAAAAAAGCTCAAATCTATAAATCTAAGAAGTTTTTTTTTTCTTGTAATGATTGTTGTTCAGATTAGATGTTATAAAGGTGGAAAGTAAAGCAACATAAAATATGGAAAAACATCTGATGTTCTAATGAAACAAAACTAATTCATCTAAAAGCTGACTATTCTGGCTTTGTAGAACACGCCTATTAAAAAGTCATGCTACCTGTAACAAATGGGGCATTATTTTTTCCAGATCAAGTAGAAGATGGACAATATGGAATCCCAGCATAATTCACATTTCTATAACAAATGCCTGCACAAGTCTAATTATGCAAACAATGGTGCAGTTAAGAGAACTCGGAGCTTAATGTGCTGTTGGAAAGAAAACATGGCTCCAACAAGAGAGAGCGATCAGTTGAAATAATGAGAAGGATTATAAAAACTCCTTGAAGTTAGTAAATCAACACCAAGTGAGGCGAAAAGCCGTTTGTTGTTGCTAGGCAGCCGCGACTACAGCCTGAAGCAAGTTCAGACGAAATCGGACTGTTAAAATGAGGCGTACGGCTAGTCAAAGATTAAAAAAAGACAGAAAGAGGAGTGGAGGTTAATGACTGAACTATAAGAAGAAATTGTGATTTTATATAAGGAAGAAAAAGTCATGAACACCTTTTCAGAAAGAAGCAAGATTCCACTTACTGAGCTAAAGAGAAACGGTAATGGACAGGAGGGAAAAAATTTATTTATCGGTAGCTTTTCAGATGGACAGTTTGTTCATGCTTTTATTAGATGTTTATTTTTACTTTCAGTTTTTATTTAGTAAATTAGTCTTTTTTCTGTAGTTTAATGAAACAATTAGCTTGTTAGCTAGCTACATATGTCATTTTTCTGTTAGCTATGTATATTTGTTTCATTTATATTTAATATTTGCGTTTTTCATTTCATACCCATGCCATATTTTATTTATTTTATTTGACCTAACATTTTTAAAATTAATTAGCTAGCTTGACAGTTGTTTCTTTAGTTGGCTATTTTTTTTATTAGCGTTTTTTTTACATTGGTAAGTTTTTTTTATTTACTACCTAGTTTTTTTTGTTTGTTTTGTTTTGTTTTTTTTAGCAATTTATTAGTTAAATTAGTTTTTTTCTATTAATTTTTACTAGTTTGTTTTTTATTTATGAATCAAACAGTTATTTTTTATTTGCTATAATTTGACAGTTTGACAAATATTTTTTAATTGGTTGGTTGGTGAGTTTTTGTTTTGTTTTTTGATAGTATTTAATCAATTACATTACATGATTGAAAATGAACTATTTTGAGGTATGCCTTATAAAGTGACAGTGTTCGGCTGTGACCTGAAGAGGTTTCGTGTCACTTCTGTAATTTATCCTCTTCACTCCAAAGTAAAACAAGAGACTGAATATCCTCCTAGTATTCTGATGACTTTATCGCTTTTGCAAGGATTTTTAGCATTATTCTTAGAAGTCTCATCGAATGACTATAAAATACAAAACCAGCTTTTTTATTTGCCTTCTCCTCCTCAGGACGCTTCCCGCGAAGCATGTCGACAAAATTGCCGAGCAGATGCGAAAGTACAATATAAACGCTCTGCTGGTAATTGGCGGATTTGAGGTACGTTGAAATCCTTTCTGTCGCTGCCTGTTTATTAGCTTAAGTTTTGCTCCTGAGGTCTATCTTTCATTTTGGCTTCAAGCTCATAAGCTCTTTAGAGATGTATATTTATGACTTCAGCTACAGCGTTATTCCTCATCAAATTAAAGCAGACAGCTGTTGTTCTTTACTCCTAATATGAGATGTGCTTATGTTCTGAATCTTGTTTAATGTTGATGTATTCCATTAGCCCTATTCCTTTCATGCCAGCACATCACCATATGCTCCATGTGTTCATATCGATGCTTCAAAGTCATTTCTCTGCCTAAAACCGCAAATAGAGCGCTGATGAGTTTAGTAGACGCACAAATTAGCTTACTTTTCTTTTTCTTTTTTTTTTTCTTTTTGCTGTAAATGCAGATGCTCTGTGATAATAACTTGAAGCATTTGGATATTTTTAATAGATACTTCTCCTACTGAGACAGATTTGATTAGGAAACAGTGAACATCTGCTTCTCTCCAGTCATTTCACGCAAATCCTGTTTAGACGCTCACCAGCTTCGACTTTTCCTGTGATGTATGGAAGTAGAAGAGTCTTCCTTTGTGAATATGAGTGTTTTGTGGGGCTGAATGTGGAGTGGTACCTGTCTGTTTCGCTGCTGTCCGTTGTGATAGACCTGGCTCCTCCCCTTGGCACCGTCCACTTATGTCCTTTTCCTTCCTCTGTTTTTTATTCTTGTGGCAAGTAGCACCTCTCTCAAAACCAAAACCCACCTGCCACAGTTCCACCCTCGCACTACTAAAGCCCTTGGCTCTGCCCTGCAGGCCTTCCTGTCACTGCTGGAATTGTCAGCGGCTCGTGGGAAATATGACGAGTTCTGTGTGCCCATGGTCATGGTCCCGGCCACGGTCTCCAACAATGTGCCTGGCTCAGACCTCAGCATTGGCGCTGACACGGCTCTGAACGCCATCACTACTGTAAGTGATGGGGGGCCTGGCGACATTTTTTTTAGATGACCTCAGCAACACACCAACAGATGAAAACAAAACAAACAAAAAAAACACCACACCCACATGCATTCAAGCATGAAATCCACAAACATGCTGACGCAGCGAAAGCCAGTTGTTACAAGAAGGGAGAGATCGCTCACTCGGTCTTTTCACCAGTGACTTTTTATTCCTGCCTGCCCGTCTGGGAATTATTTGGCAGAAATTCTTGTCATGGTCAGCGTCTGTAAGCCACATCTGGCCTACAGCGGCGCTCCACTCAGAGCGCTGGAAATTCAGCCACTCAGCGTGTGTGCGCGCTCTGAGAGGCCAAACTGGTGAAAGTTACAGTGTACAGCAGCATCCCTCCCTTCATTAACAGGTAAGTAAGTGAGTGAGAACATGGAGGCATGCTTTGAGGTGCACAAGTGTCGTGACTGCCATGTTTGCTCTGCCTGCCCCCCTCTCTGTGTGTGTCCCCCCCTTCTTCTTAGCATGAAGATGAAATGCAAACAGAGTGCAGCGTTGCTGGCTTGTTAGACGGACAGAGAAATGCAAATAAAAAAAGAAAGCTCGTCTCTTAAGCTTGCTTTTATGGCTTTTATTTTCTTACAGATAATATGCAAATACAGTACTTGCGGCTTTTGCTGGACATTTTGCATCATGCAGAGTTCAAAAAAGAAACCCACCACATCCTTAAAAAGTCTTAAATTCATGCATTAATAAGGTAGGACCTTAAAAAGTCTTATTTATTTTGGTAACAATTAAAGTTACAAGTCTGCTCTTAAGAATTTGGCTTCTTCAAAGCACCAGGTACTTGTTTGATTCTTTTCCAAAAAAAATAAAAACTTCCCACAGTAACTGCATTAAATCATATCAGACCTCAGGAGAGATTCAATAAGGACACTGAAATGTACAAATTTCACTGGAAAAATGTGTTAATAATAAAAAAAGTAATACATTTCAACAATATAGTGAGTTTTGAGGATTTTCAAGTATCAGTAATGTGAATTTATTACATTTCTACTGTAAATTTTCACAATAATGACGTGAATTATTGCAATGACTGGTAATTAGGATTTTTAAGTCACTTAACCATAATTAATGGTTTTCAACAATATTTTGTGACTAAGCCAATTATTATTTTGTGCCTCAATGCCTTAACTCTGAAGCTAACTTTTTGACATACATTTCCAATTTGCATTAAAAATATTTTAATGTAGGATCTTATGAACTGACATTAAGTTGGAACAAGCCTTTGAGAGGCAGAGATGAACTCCAATAGTTGACAATGAATCACATATTCTGCTGTATTCATATTGCATAGAAATAAGCGAAAGTCAGAGTAAAATATGACAAGTTATTTTTTTATTTGCATTTCTCATATAGTCTTAACACGTATTTAGGCTTCTAAATGTACAAACTAATGAGCTAGATGTGAAAGAAGCGCCATGCCTTTTAAACACAATGATGCTGGTCGTCATCCCCCTGGGTCACCCCACCACCACCACCCTGTGTTCGTGGGTTTGACCAGTGCTGCTTGTTTGGCTTGCAGTGTTTAAAACCTCCAGAGCCGATTTGGTAGTTTTATGGTCGCTATATGCCGTATCACCGCTGAGGCGCACCAAACACACACTCCCGATCTGTCATTCTTTCTCTTCTTTCTGTCCTCTCACCCTCCTCCCCCCCCCAGAACCCCTCTCTTTTTCCCCTCCCTTCCATCCATACCTCTTCATTTTACCTTCTCTGCTATCCTTCCACACTCCTCTGTTTACACTCCCGCTTCTGTTTGCCAAAGGGAAGCCACCGCAGCTATCACACGGGAAAAGCCGGAATGGCAGGATACGCTCTCACTGGGCTGAGAGGGTTTTATCGCTCTCTCAGCGGCCGACCCTCTCTTAGTGGCTCTAACAAGTTTTCTATATGCTGCCGCTTCAGGCGCTTGAGTGTCTGCTGCAGCTGTGTGACGCCCGTTCTACCTTTGAGGAGTTTTGCATCCCAATGTGTATGCTGCCTGCCACCATAAGTAACAATGTACCGGGCACAGAGCTGTCTATCGGGGCAGACACGGCCCTGAATGCTATCGTGGAGGTAAGGCAGTTTGAGCCGCCAGCACCGCCGATGAAGCTTTGATTACTTTGTTTCAACTGATTTATTGGGGAGGGGGCGAGACCTGAGACATCAGTAGAACTAATGGTCCAGTTCTAATAATTAGCAAAATATCAGGTTGCAAGATTAGCGAAAGTAAAATGTGTGAATATTTCTAATCTATGTGTTAGAAGTGATCCCTAACTGAGATTATGAATATCAATCTTTGTTTTGCCACTGTTGTAACTTCTCAGGCTTGTGACACAATTGAATTAAAAATGCTGTCTACACAGTTATGAAGTTGGGGGTCTGCACCATGACAAAAATGTTAAAGAATGTAAGCACGACTGAAGGATTGCTAGGCTAAAGATTTTTCCAAAACACTTGAATCCTTTTTTTTCTATTACCTGTTTTACTCTTTCGGTCAGAAACATTTAGAGCAAGTAAGAAAGAAGAGGATGAAACGAGTAAATAACATCCCCACAATCAGAGTTTTTTGCAAAAATCTTTCAAAGTATGCATGTTGGTGCAAACAGCCCTATCACCAAACCGCAGAGCGACTTGATACTTAATTATCAGCATTGGGCCATTAAACAGGAAGTTCACACAAGCTAAGGATAAACAAACAAAAAACACCCTCTGATGTTTTTACATGTAATGTGCTTCTCTCATTCTTTGCAGGACTCCAGTCAGTCTGGTAAAAAACAGCATCTAGCCTGATGAAATTGTGAAACATTTCAAATGACCAGCATGCAGTTTTGGTGTTGTGTTTCTCATGTGGAATGTCTTCCAGTATGCTAACAGTTTTGATAGCTAATTACTGCCTCTTGTATACTTGCTGGTTTGAGTAAAAAAAAAAAAAATCCACTTTAATCCATTTATCAGTCAGAGGATCAGACTTGTGAACTAAAGCGAATGTGTTGGCCTGCGTCCATGTTTTAACGAACTGACTCTGCGAGCCTGGTGTGCATGTGTCAGACTTGCGACCGCATCAAGCAGTCAGCCAGCGGGACGAAGAGGCGCGTGTTCATCATCGAGACCATGGGGGGCTACTGCGGCTACCTGGCCACCGTGGGGGGGCTGGCGGCGGGCGCCGACGCCGCTTACATCTACGAGGAGCCGTTCGACATCAGAGATCTACAGGTAAAGACGAGGCCGACTCCCCCGACTGGCCGCCTTGTCGTTTTATCTCTTTTATAAGGGAGTCAATTCTGGTCATTGTTTCTTCCTTTAGGCTAACGTTGAACATCTGACAGAGAAAATGAAGACCAGCATCCAAAGGGGACTGGTGCTCAGGTGAGAACCAGGGTTCTGATAGTTTAGCTTTATTTTCATTGTGACTTTTGTTTGTTGTTCGCTGGGACTAGAGAATAAATCTGTATTTCTGTCCCTCGGTTTTTGACTCTTAAGCTGCTTATACACTAAACAGAGCGCATGTTGCTGTCCACCGCTCATAAGCTCGCATTATGCAACACCCATAACGACACCTCTTTCGGTCCGTTTAGAAACGAGAACTCCAACGTGAACTACACGACCGACTTCATCTACCAGCTGTACACGGAAGAAGGCAGAGGAGTGTTCGACTGCAGGAAGAATGTGCTGGGACACATGCAGCAGGTACCGCTGCATGCTCTGCTGCCGCAGAGTAGATTATTCTAGGAGTCGGTGGGGGAGACGGGAGAACAGACCGGGGAAGATGTGATAAGATTTGTTTTGTGTTTGAAGCATTCATATCCCCTGTTTCCAAATGAGGTCTTTTGTTTTGTGTGCGTCTGGAGATTACCACAGATAAAGCAGGATCAAACAGAACTTTTAATAAGAGAATTAATAATATGCAGAAACAAACAAAACCAAAAATATGTGTTCTTTTTCTTGAACTTTTTTGCATTTTGTTACCTTAAAGCTACAACCTTTAATGTATGTTAATGAGACAAACCAAAACAAAATAGCTCATAATTGTTAAGTGGAATGAAGAGGAAGCCTGCATGGCACTATTACTATCTGTAAAGTGTGGACTGCATTTTTATTTAGATCCTATAAGCTGGATAGCCCTAAAGACAAACAAGTGGAATGAATTGCTTTTACCTAATAAATACACTTCATCTGTGTGTAATGTAGTAACAATATAAGAACCAACTGTTCCTAGAGACCATTGGTGAACAAACAGGATCACTAAGAACAAGAAACACAGCAGGCAGGTCAGAGGTGAAGATGTGGTTAAGATTAAAATCAAGGGAAAGCTTATGGAAAAAGTCTATTTTTAATGTCTCACCTAAATGCAAAACTCTGTGGTCTGTGATCGGCCGATACTTAAACATGAAACTGATCTTATCCTCCTCCGCAAATGTCTGAAAATGAGCCACTGACCACTTTTGCTCTGCTTTAGCAACTCTGTTACAATGTTTAGCGACTTTTCAGACAAGAAAAATCAGCATTGGTCAAAATGTGCAGGCCAGGTTTCTTGAGAGATCGGTGATTTGCCAAGAAAACGCAATCAATGTAGCCCTGGTTTAAAGCTCAATTATTTGTTAGAATGCCCTAGTCAAATCCCAGACCTAAATTTAACCGAGATTTCTTGGCCCTAAAATTATAAATCAACATTTTTATTGATCAAACTCCTACACTAATCTGATTGAGTTAAAAAAAAAAAACTCAATGAAAAGAGCGATATGATAACAAAATTATTCCAGCGTAAAAAGATGACAGAAATACACCCAAAAATTCTAAAAATGTTTAATTTTCTTTCTTTTTCAGAATTTTATTCGACTTTTTGTCGGCCTATCGCATAAAACCTATAAAATACGATGAAGGTTGTGCTTGTAAAATGACAAAATGCAAAAAAGTCAACTGCATCAGCAAATATGAATAATAAACATTTACAGAAAAGGAGAAAGAAAAGTGTTTAAACTTGAGAATTCCTTTGAAAGGGAGGAGCGCCGTCGCCGTTCGACCGCAACTTTGGGACCAAGATCTCCGCCAAGGCCATGCAGTGGCTTTCCCAGAAGCTGGTGGAGTCTTACAGAAAAGGTAAGGCGTTCCAGTCGCTGTGTTTGCTGGTAGATAAAAACCCGAGCTGCGGACCCCTAGAGGATCCTCCCTCCCTACAGAGACGTGACCGCTGTGACGCAGATCTGCCATGGAATCTCTGTCGTTTATTCTTCTAACTGCTGCCGTTTATCGAGGCAAAACATGTTTGAAGCGAATCATTACAAAGTACCGTTAAAATTAAAGCTGTTTTTTTTTTATGTTTTGTTTCCCTCTTTCACACGGATGACTTAAGATGAAGGTAAATCTTGCCTTTTATGTTGGCTCCGTGACCATCTCTGTGTCCCTGTGTTGCCATTTAGTGGCCATGTAGCTTAGAAATTCACACTTCCTGTGCAGACACACATTTGTGTTCATGTCTTTCATGTTTATCAGCAGCTGCCATGCAGTTCTATTTCCAGATTATGACTCATCTGAAAACGAGCTGGAAATGTGTAGCCATGGGCTGGATTTCCGTCCTCTACCCCTACCTCTCCTTGTTACAGAAGAGGATTAGGGCCACTGGCAAAAAAACCCAAAAAACTTTTGTTTCTCAGAATTCTGACTTTAAACTCTGAATTCTGATTTTTTTTTTAAACCACAATTCTCACTTTAAATTTTTCTTTTGTAAAATTCCAACCTTTTTTGGTAAAATTCTGACTTTTTCTCAGAATTCAGAGTTTAACATCAGTTATGATTTTAATCTCTGAATTTTGACTTTTAATATCTGAAGATTAAAGTCCGAATCATAAGAAAAACGACAGAATTCAGAGAGTAAAGTGAGAATTATTTTTATTTTCCAGCGGCCCTAATCTTCTTCCATACCGTTTCTGTCTGTAGCCTTCTAAGTTAATTCTAATTTCTGCGTGATCACCTCTTTTCGTTTAGATTTTGCTAGTGTTTTGTTTTAGTTGCTGGTAGAGTAAGCGCCATCATTTCTCGTTAAGACACCTCGTACGCCGTGGATGAAGCTAAAGCTCCTTTGTGTGCGTCCTGTAATGGCCGTGATGTTTTCCCCCGCAGGCCGAGTGTTTGCCAACACCGAGGACACCTGCTGTCTGCTGGGGATGCACGCCAGGGCTCTAGTCTTCCAGCCCGTCGTGGAGCTCAAGGATCACACCGACTTTGTGTGAGTATCAGGGATGCAAGATATCAGTTAATGTGTCAGTCTAAAGCGACCGTTCTCTTAAAACCCGGAGATTTTTCTCTTGTATGAAGAGCGTGGACCGTCTTTCTATGACATAAAGGGCACATTTTTTCATATGTTAAAAAAAAATCTAAACATTTTAACATTATCTAGCTGAATTGAAAGATGGAAAATAAGAGAAAAAGGAAATTCCTCATGAACAGAGAGATGTTTGTGGCGCGCAAATAGGCATGATTGGCAGTGCTAAACCCGCCTCCTGGCTCTGATTGGTGGGTTTTAGTTGGCACTAGGAGAAGTCAGAGGATATATTTTTTTCCCCATAGATTATCTGTCTCATATTACAGTGTCACAACACAGTGACAGTTTTAACAAGTATGTAAAAACATATTCTTTATAAAAGTTACATACTGCAGCTTTAATGTGAAACTTAAGGAACTTGTTTATATTTCAAATCAGAACTACATAAAGTTAAATTTGCACCCCACACAGCACTCTGTTTGGACCGGTTCTTCTTTCCGCTCTAGTATGGTCCCGTCATCTTTATTTCTGTATCAACTGTCTCTGCTTAAGAATGACCAGCGGTGCCCTCTGCTGGATGGCAGGCAAACTACAACACTAAAAGCAGGTCTAAGCAGACGTTATTAGTTAATGTATTGAAACTACTTTTAATCTAACCATTAATCAACACTTAAGTCAATTAAAAGTGAAGATAAACCACTCTAAAAGCGCACCAGTAGTGAGCCGGGTGAATATTTTTTTGCGGTCTTCTGTTCAGCCACAGGATCCCCAAAGAGCAGTGGTGGCTGAAGCTGCGTCCCCTGATGAAGATCTTGGCCAAGTACAAGACGAGCTACGACGTATCTGACTCGGGACAGGTGGAGCACGTCATACACAGCCGACCCAAAGACTCGGACGCTTCGGTCGCCATGTGAAGGCACTTTGCTGTCCGCTGTCCCGTGAAGTCCAGCCTCTGTGTGTGTGTGCGCGTGTGTGTGCGTGCAAGTGTGTGTGAGACAGAGACTAGTAAGTTCTGGAACTGATAGTCCAGATGTTGTAATGGAAGCTCAGCGAAACAGCGTCGTGTTCGTTTCACTTGTTACCATCATCTCCCCTCAGATCACAACTGATGAATTTTAACCGAGCCTTCCAGTACTCCCGATGTTACGTAACACAACAGTCTTGCCATACATATGCGGGTTCCCGTTGCCCTGGTTGTTTAGCGTTGTTGTTGTTTTTTTTTTTTCTTTCTATTTCTCTTTTTTTAAATTGCACTTTTCTCTGACTCTGGTTGTGTAGACAGGCTCTGATTGCAGAGCTGCAGGAGGACAGAGTAGACACTTTATCTGCAGTAGGAAGAAAAAAAGAAAAGAAAAGGAAAAACCAGAGCGTGTTTCTGACTAGCACAAACGTGGGGGTCCAGCATATTTATGACGACTGATGCTGCAAGTCAACTGTGTGCTGTGCTTTACACAGAGAACTAATATTTATATATTTAACATTGTTTATTTTGCTTGTAAGCATAGTTATATTAATCATTGTACTGTAGGCGATGCTGTAATGAATAGTTGTCCGTCATTGATCCGAGTTAGATGTGTACGAGAGTAAGGTTTACCACAAAATAAAATCAGACTTGACAAGTGTAACCTATTGATTGCTTCTTTTTATTATCTTGTCTCTTTATTATTTTAATTTGCTGCGAAATAAGTCAAATATGTCGTTACGTTTACAAAAAAAAACTGCTTCATATTAAATGGGTTGCAAATATTCATAAAGCGGTTAGAAAAACTAAAATACAGTCTTAGAAGTAGCAAACAAAAGAAGAGAACAAAATAAAGGACGGACCAACGGAAGGGAACACTAAAAGGAGTTTCAATCAAAAATAAACTGAAACACAACATAAGATGAACAAGAAGAAAACAAGTACAATGATGGTCAGTGATGACTCAAAAGGATTTTAAATGACAACAAAAAGATCTGAGACAACAAGAAAATCACGGACAAAGAGATGCAATTTTACTAAACAGTCAAAAATTGCATCTCTTTAGCGGCTCTACAAATTGTAGAGACGTCCAAAAATATGCAAAACAACATTTTAAATGATCAGTAAAGTTGCAAACACAGATTTGGAAACAGTTACAACGAAAACAATATGAAAAAACACCAAACAGCTGCAACTAACAGGAGAAAGCACCGTGCTGCTCTGTGTTGTGTGCAGTTACCGTTCTGGGAGTCTTTTAGTTGTTTTCCCACTGAGAAGAGGTGGTGCTGGTGGGAGGAGGGGGGGTTGCTTTGGCGCTCTCTCTCTCTCTGCCCAGATTTCTGCTGTCTCACAATCCTTCAGTGAGGATAGATGCTCCAGGTCATTTTGGATCATTACACAAACAACATCGGCTTAATTTCATCTTGCATAATCAATCAGCAATTTTAGTGCTAACCTTGGAAATTTTCACCTGAAACAGAAGGTCACCCTCTCCCTCCATCCAGACCATCGTGATAAGAGGACTGAGAAGTGCAGTGATTAAACCGAGTTAGTTGTGAACCAGATGATCCAGTAGATGGCGGCAGAGAGCCGTCGGGTCCGCAGCAGTCCCCCGGTTCACCGGGTCCACTGTGACACGGATTCCCTCCATCACTGGCTGTCCACCTTTTCTCACAATTCCACTGTATGGTGGCTTATTACTAAAGTAGATTAACCGTGTGTGTGTGTGTGTGTGTGTGTGTGTGTGTGTGTGTGTGTGTGTGTTGCCATAATTAGGAATTAATCTGATCATTTGAAAGAAAATTTCAATTTCCCATGGGTGTATTAATTGTGTATACATGTAATTGGGCTCCCTTTTTTTTAACTGCTTAAATTGACTTTTTTTTTTTTTTGCCAGTGTTAACTGGGAGTAATTACATACATATATGGCTGTGCTGAGGCCATCGCTTTGCGACAGTGGAGTGACGTGAAATGTAATTTGAAGAAAAAGCTACCCGAATCACCTTTGCTCCCTACAGACTGTCCAAGAATAATTATTATCTCCGACTTAGACCCTGTATGGTTAATGCAGGTTCACTCACACGGCTCCACTCTGGAAAGGAGACTGGTCTCTCTTCACTTGAATTTCTTGAGACCCCCACCGCCACCGCTCCTCCTCCATGACTACTTGGTTCTCCGTGTAGGCAGTTTTGTGTTGCTGGCTCCCTCTCTCTGAGCATGAAATTAGAAAATTCAATAATTTGGGTTGATTTAGGAATGCAAGGGGAGAGCACGGGGTCATATGCACATAGGTAATCAATACTAATTACCATTTCATTTCTCCCTCCCCCCCCAACCACCCCACACACTTTCTCTTCTTCTACAATCACACATGAATCGGATCTCGCTGGACTGATTAAAGGTTGCAAATGAAGCATCCTCACCTCCTGATTCTCATCAAAGGCCAACCTCACGCTCGGTAACTTTGTCTTCATTTAATTCTTCGCCGTCTTCAGACAAGGCCCCCCAATTACAAGCTTGCAGTGAATCTCTAAAATGGCTTGTGCACATTGACCTTTTTAGATTAAAAGCGCATTCTGTATCTCTCATGGACTCCGCTGCACTCTAATTTCCCTCCTAATGAACCGCGCTGGTTGGTATTCCTAGAGCTGTAATAACTAGTTAGGAGCCAGCAGTGCTAACATAGATCACCATAAAGGTAGCCTGTTAACAATAGCAATGAGAGCCAATAAATCCAGACTGACTGTGATTGGGGAAAAAAAAGAAACAAGCTCAGATTACTTGCATATGTGATGAAAATTAGCACTAGGGCGAAGCTATGCAAGAATAAACGAGCGCATGATGCATATACCGCAGGATGAGAAAGCACAGAACAGCAGAAGTTATGGATTTTTGATACGAGCCGACTGCAGTCCCCCGTCGGCCGCGCTGAAAGACGCGCACAAACAAGCGTTAATTACAGGACCTGTTTGCAGACTTGGGATTGAGGGATTTGATCCAGCCGCCCGCGCACATGAGAGAGGCTTAGACTTAAAACAACTCCAGTGAGTCCGCTCTCCCAATTTAAGGCCCTCCCGAAATCCAGCGGTCCGAGCAGCTCGCCGAAACGCTCATCTGAGAATCTCCTTTCGACAATTAAGACACCCATGGAGGCATGTAAAGCTCTCAGTTCCATTAGCCTCTGTGCTGTTTCACTCTCTCTGTCCACTGAGCCTTAACTTACTTATTAGTACAAGTCTGCCATATTTTGTTAGGGAAGCGATTAGTGGAATCTACATGAAAAGGCAATTTCCCCCCCATCCCCGTCTTCCTTTCTTTCTCTTTGCTCCCTCACACTTCGCTGAGATCGGACAGATCTAAAGAATGGCATTTGCGCACTAATGAAATTCGCTCTGCACCATTTCGGATGTTAATCTTGGGATGGAAGTGACTTGTGTCTTTATTTACTCGTTTCTGTGTGACAAATGGTCAGAGTTGGCAAAAATTACATTGGCGCCGGTGCGCTTCCCCCTCTTTAACCAAAGGCGGGCGGTAGGGGCTGGCAGTCAGCTTAGAGACTGCAGCTCCACTTTGATGTATTGGAGTTAATATCTTCCTGACATTTCTCAGGACAGATTTTCATCACAGGATTCATCTGTACTTTTGAGGCTATGTGATAAATGAGTCGGGACATTCATTTTCCTCTCCTCTGTTGCATTTGTAGAGGAACGACGTGCGCGCAAGTGCGCGTGTAAATACTGTGTCTGTCCACTGTTGAGATGCAGAGGTGTAAATCTCTGCCTGAGCTTGTGCAACTGTGTGTGTGTGTGTGTGTGTGTGTGTGTGTGTGTGTGTGTGTGTGTGTGTGTGTGTGTATCCACTGTGGTGCTGGGCTCAAGCGTGCCCATGACACGAAATAGACGGCGGCATTAATGGAAGTGACATTAATTTGACAGAGCGCTCACTAACATGCGAAGTCACTCGCAGTTCATAAGAATAATATTAACTCGGCATTAACATGCAAGGCTGTCTGTTGCACCAGATGCCGAGCGTTTTGGAGAGCGGGTGCTGCAGTCTGTCTTTCTGGGCCACAACTAGATGATGGTTGGATGTATGCAGAGCAAGAAAAGCCTCTTTTCTAATGTCTGTGTGCTTGCTGACACTAAGAATCCCCTGTCGTCGTGGCTGTGGGGAGACCATACAGCTTTCTTGAATGAGGGAAAGGCAAGAAGACGCTGGCTGTGGGGGTTTGGTTGAAATCAAAGGAGCAGTGTTGAGGGCTTGACAAACGGGAGGCAACGTCGATTCCTCTCCATGAATTTTCTTTGGAACTTGGGCCACGAGGCAACAATTGCTTGCTCTCTGCTAGCCAAGCGACGAGCGAAATTCATGCATGTAGACGTAGACATGGATGTACACATGTGAGGGGGGGGGGGGGGGGGGGGGGGGGGGGAAAAAAA